TCTTTTCTAAGTGGACAAAGGGTAAATTTTCAACTTGGAATTTTAAGATATATTATTATGAAATGGAATGTGTTATGCTCCAAAACGAAAACAATGAATCGAGGGGACAGAAAAGAAAGCTTGAAGATGATCTTACAGAGGAAAGGTGCAAGAAGGCCAAAATTGAGCAGAAAATGAAGGAAGCTGTTGCTAAAAACAAAGAAATTACTGGCAAATTTCAAAAGAATTTTAAAGGCCTTGTCCAGAAATTAATGAAACTACAAAAAGATAAGAAACCAAGGGGTCCTGCCAAAAGTAAAACGTTTGTAGACTATAGTAAAAGGCATCAAACTAGAGTTCGAAACCAAATGGTCACAGACTATGAAACTTCACTTTCATTTATTGGACTTCATGATTTTGTTGCCACTAAAGTTGAAATTTTCCATGAGAACATTCAAGAGTATGAGACTCTCACATTGGTTGATAACGCAATAACATTCAAAAGTCATCTCGAGTCGAGACACTCACTGATGAGGAGATTGATGACATAAATTTACTGCTGTACACAAAGGAAAGATTTAATATATCAAACGAAGCCTACCATGAACTTTCTATGATTTGCAAGGAACTACCTCGGTCATGGAAAGTCAAGGAGAGGATAAAGGCTTTAAATAGTACACGGAATCTGTCAAGTACTCCCAATAATACTTATGGGATTCAGCAGAGCATTAAGGAATGACTAGAAGTAAGGTTGCAGACTCCTATGAAAAATATTCCTTCTAATGCTGCTTTCAAAGAAAATCATAAGATTCGAGTTAAACCATCTGGGGATGGTACCAGTATTGGCAAACGACTACATGTCATCAATGTAAAAATGACTCATTTGCAAGTCATTTTCAGTGTGGCTTTCTACAAGAGTATCGCCGACATAAACAAACTCTTTCACAGGCTTTTTTTCATGCAGCCAAAATCTTACAGTTACAGGAATGACATAACAAAAGTCGCCATTTGCATTTTGAATTCTCTCAAACCACGTACTACCAAGCAGATCGCACAAATGAGAGTTATCGTCAACACAATGTACTTCTCTTCCTCTTGACTTTTTTGTTACAAATACCATATTTTTAAATATGTTTTATAGATATCCATGTCAATATGCATCTCAATCCGAACCCTCCGGTGTCTCCCTTTTGGTTGAAAATAGACTAAACTTCATTTCCCGGCTGAGGCGGTGGAATAAAGGTGAAGCCCTGTCAGACAAGGAATCTTCACTTGGCATGAATCGTGGTACCAAGCGACCAAGACTACTTTTTTCTCTTTCAACTAAGTCATCTCCATCTCTCCATTTATCAAAATCACTTGAATTTCCAATAAAGTGAATTTTCACTTTATTTTCTATTTTGCCTTGGTCAACGATCTGCAAAAAAAATATTATCCACATCTTAGGACTATTATGTTTCACTTTGACAGTTTAACTTACGATAATTTTCAGTACTTACTTGAAATGCTCACAGACAAAAAGTTCCAGAAATAAAATTATTTAAGATTTTTTCAGAAGGATATTCGGTCAACTGAAAAGTGATCGTACCACAGGCTGAAAATTGATAAGAGTCAAGGACAGAAAACAATTGTAAACAAAACGTGCGTGGGCCAGTAACGCCCACGGTGTCAGAAAGCAAAAGATTTCCGGTTTTACGGAATTTGCGATAGCGGACGTGTAGATAGAAGACTCGCCATGTAAACATCGCATTAGTTAACACCACACTCCCGCAGGTGTGGACAAGTTACGCCGCAGAAGTCATTCGAATGGACACTTGAATAAAATTTTGTCTGCAGAATCTGTGAAAGAGGGCTTCATGATGAGGTAAGTTGCAATTGAAAGAGAGCTCGATTATTCTTAGTTTGTTTTCATTACCAAATTTTTGTCCTAATTTGGATTACGCCGTTAAAAACTTTCGCCTTTGTCGAAGGTTTGTTTCTTCTCGTCATTCATATTGTGCGCGTGACTTCAAATTAGTCTAGGTTCAGATGCATTGTGGAAAATTGACCTTTACCTTTGAATTGATCATAAATCCCATTTTGCATTTGTAACGTACTATTGTTCTTGATATCTCGTCCGCAAAGATGGCGGCTTTCACCGGGCTGACGGAGCTATGTTTCTGACTGTTAGCTACTTGAAGTGCATCCACGGCTGCGGTTTTGCTTGCGAGTTTTTCACATTTATTGACAGTACAATCGCACTGCGCTCTTATTGTTACAACATCACTTCATCAAATAATTTTGTCTACGGTGAATTAAGGCGAAAGCTCTGGGCTTTTACAGAGGCGGTAGGGTAGAAAAGACTTAAAAGGCAACTCAAGCATGATATTTCTATATCAATTATTTTCCTTCTCGTATTGGCTCTGGACGCAACAAATTGACGTAACTTGACCATTTAAAGACCTTTAAGTGGCAACAAAGAAACTTCAAGCTAACTTGATTAGTGCCGAGCACTTAATTCTAAGGGTTTCAAGATTATTGGGAAGAATTATATGTAAAGCCACATAAAATAAAAAATAAGGATTAAAAATCATGTCCGTCACGAGAAAGAGAGTAACCTAGGACTATAAAAGTCAACTAGTCTTCAATGCTGCATATCTTAATTCGAATATTAGTTTTTCTTTATCGTAGTTGAACCACTAAAAAAAATAGATAAAAAAAATTATAAAGAAATTTTAAGGTATGTTGATTGTGGTGTATCGAAATCTGTCCTGCTAACATTTGTCAGATTATGATATCCAAACAATTCGCCTGAATATATGGAACTTTTGGTCGCTTTTATTGTTATATCTATCTTTGGCTTAACCTGGCTATTTCCGCACAAACGAAAGCTTCTGAGACTCTGTTCTCATATTCTTCATTTAGTTTGTTTTTCCACTAAGCAATTTTGTAGCACAGGTTGAACTGTTGTAAAAACTTTTGCCGGAGAAAAAACTCAAAATGGGTGAGCCCTTTCGGATCGCTGATAATTGTGACAACTGGTCTATTATCAAATAAATTTAACTTTTCATTAATTCAGTTATTAGTTGAGGTCTCGAAAAATACGACCATATTCGCGCTATAATCCATTCCACAAGAAAGTTTGCTTGACCAACGCATTTAGATATATTCGCGTCTTATATCTTGATCCTCGACCCACCTCCGAACACACCTCTTGAGATGCCGTGAGCCAATTAAAACCGATCTTTTGCACAGCTGTCAATCTATTTCGATCTGCATGAGCTAAATGAATGTTAATATCTGAGAGCGTAGTTAGGTTGCACACATTTCAAAACAACTTTTGATAAGAACTATCTTGCTAGATACAATTTACTTATTTATATCGAAATAAGCGATTAAACGTACCCAGGCTTGTTCGTATGATTTTACATACATACATAATTCCATGCGGCAAGTTTTACTGTATTTTTCAACAGCATGTATCATTATGGTGAAACGATTTTATGCTGATTTGTTGCTTTAATACGATTTCTGGTATCAATGCAATAAATCCTCGATAGAATTAAGAACTGACGTGATAATTCACTTAGCTCTTTGTCTTTAAAGAGGTAAATCATTGGAGAACAAAAAATAAAAACCAGCAAACAAACAGACGTAACAAAAACAAAACACAAAGATTGTTTGCAGTGTTCTAGAGTATGTATGGCGTAACTCACTATGAATGTTGGACGAGGACAAGGCGAAAGAATTTATAAATACATTTGAGTCATGATTTTCGGAAATATCCAGCGACTTAATGATAAATCAACTGCATTTTACGCTCTAACGGTTTTACTACCAAAAATTAAAACATTATACTGTGGTGAGTAACAGTCTTTTGCTTTTAGCTATCCCGTGCAGGAAACGAGACAATCAGAGGTACAAGTCATGTCTCCATATACCCAGCTGCCAAATAATGTCAGTGCTAATGCAGTGAGCTCAGTAGGTCAGAGGGATCAGCCCATTGAGCATACCTTTGGAGGAATGGAGTTAAAATATTGGAGACAGGAAATAGCCAGGTAAATTATAGCGCGACATCTTCAGTAAATTGATTGAAAATACAGATCTTTGCATAGGGCTGAGCAAAATTCAGTGAACCCGGGACTACTCGGGATTGGTTAGTATTGCTTCACTTTGCTCTATAATTAGCCTAACAAAGTTGAGCAATTCTCGGAGTTAAACAGATGCAAAACTAAAACTATGCCATCGAGCGTCAACGTGCGATTTGGTCAGTTTTGTTTTCTCCTATCTCATCGGGTAGTTGCGTTTGTGTTTGTTATCGGCTCCTTAGCTTTAATATTTCCTATATTTCTTAGTTAGCGATTGAAGCTTAATGTGCTTAGTTTTTTTTTTACTGATACTTATTACATCGCTCGCAGCGCCCGTGGGCAAGATGAAGCGAATCCTGTGTTCTGATTGGCTGCCTAAGCGGGCAAGATGGGCCCATCTTACCCGCTCGGAATTGCCGGCCCCATTGATCCTGAGCATGAAAAAAAAAAAAAATAGAATTAGAACTACATTCATAATTCTTGGACAATGTCGGCGATGGGAACGCAAAAAGCAGCAGTAGACAGTCAAAACAAAGAAAACAGAAACGACTCTTGTGAGATTGTTGTGCTACAAACGCAGATGGCTTTCTTTTTCAACAAGTCATTCTTAAAGTAAAGCGAAATCTTTTTGCAATATAATAAATCCTTTATTAACCAAGCTTGTTCAGTCAAGATGGCTGGATATTAACCTTGTTCCTTTTTTCGCATTCGTATGGCCTCAACTTCGTTCCGGCCGTAAAAATGCAAAAAAAGAACTGGACTAATATCCAGCCATCTTAACCTCACGTTTGGTTAATAACGCATATTTATTGAGCCAGGTAATTTTACTTTTTCACCAGTAAAACCGAGTGAAATTCAAGCTCGTTCCTTTTATCGTGAAACTGATTGTATACACTCACAAGATTGTTTTGTTGCATTCTTAGATCTGCAGCGCAGGTAGCCACTAGAAGCAAAGGAAATCCCAAAGAAACTTGCATCATCCTAGAATTTACAGAAGTTTGTCAGTTATGCCAGGTTGATTGCAATGGAGAGGCACCACCCATTATCAGTCCTGCCTTTTACTCCGACAAGTATGAGCCCAAACTTTGCATACGAATGTACCCCTGTGGATTGGGTGAGGGGAGAAATCGATTCGTTGCTGTTTTTGTACATATGATGAGTGGAAAATATGATAATATTCACGCAAGATGGCCTTTCACTCCACGAATCACCATTTCTATCTTGGATCAAAGTGGCAACGAACGCCACATCAGCCAAATCATTCAAGCCAAGCCAAATATGGTGGCGTTTCAAAAGCCAACAGAAGAGATCAGTCGTACAGGATGTGGTTTAGTAAAGTTTGCTCCAATCGAGGAAGTATTTGGTGCTCCTTACGTTAAGGATGATAAACTGTTTCTTAAAGTTGAGTTTTCATTCTGAATATTAACTACCGAAAACTGTTCAATTGATCAGTTCTTTTTAATATAGCTTTGATAAGATAATCGGGAGTAAACATTTTACGTCAGTATGGACTTGTTGCTGGGCAAAAGGAATATTTTTTGGACTGATTATTATCTAGCATCGCAGTTTTCAATAAGCAAGGTATAATTCAAAGGTGGGAGTCACCTTTGCGAGCAGGTCCCGTTCAGGAGATTGGGAGGAAAAGGGTAAGCCTGTTCGCAGCCCTCGTCTGTTTAAAAATTTGAAACTTGTAATACCTGTACATATATCTATATAAGAACGATCCTTCGCAGTAAAGCACTATTTGAGCAATAGTGGAAATCAGACCTGAAAAAAATTTCAGGCCTGTACGGGATTCGAACCACTGACCTCTGCGATACTAGTGCAGCGCTCTACCAATTGAGCTAACAAGCCAACTGGGAGCAGGCCGTTAAGTTGATTCGT